AGATAATGAGTAATTGAACTGCAGTCAGAAGTATATTGAGCACGTTCGTTGTTATAGCGTTTGTTTAGCGCGATTGTTGAAGTTGAGTGTATCGGTAAAGTTATATTCGGAAAGAATAAACCAGTTTTTATTAAGAAAGAACTTGTGTCGCTTAAGTTTCGTCGGAACAAGTAACGGAAAATCAATTAACAAACGGAGACGTAACAATATTTTCACTTAATTACTTTGTAGTTGCTGACAACATTCGCCCACGTTAAGTTTGTATTTTGCAACTGCATGGTTATTATTACTGCTATACATATGCATGTATTGGTGAAATATCTTCTTGTTTTTTTCACTTCGCTTATAACTTTAAACGGCTGTTAGTCAATTAATGTCAAGTCTATTAAATGTTTAAATACGAATTCCCTTCATTGAATATGATCAAATTTGCCAAACTTTTTTTAAGGCCCTCTAGTGATCACGAGAATTACAGGATGCTGATTGTGATGGCATAATTAGTATATTATAAATACAAACCATCAGCTGTTAAAAAAAGAAAAAATAACAGTTATAATATTACTTTAAAAAAAATCGCGCGAACCTCATTTGTAAGTAGTATGTAATACGCCAGAGTTCTGTCAAACCATCAAAATTCCAACTAGTATTCTGTGTAGACGGCATTTTCGATGCGTTTAGTCCTAGCACCAGGCACTATAGTACTCATTAGACATAATGACATTAATACTAATAATAGTATTAACCTAACACATAATGGATTTTGTTGACAGCTCCAAAAATTAGGCATTATTCCTCTTGGCATAGTTCGGTTTGTTGTGTCAAATAAAGGTATAATCATGCTGCCATTTCTCTGTTCATTAAAAATACAAGGCTCACATTTTGTAAAACTTTATAAATTATTGTCGGCTGTAAAGCGCCCAACGATTGCCTTGACATCTATAAAATATAATTTTAATTTTAGAATAAAAGTTGTGGCTAATTACAGGTTTGTTGGAAGGGCAAGAGATCAGCTATTAGCAACAGCTACCAGTTGTAGATCAACATGCTTGTTTTGGTTTTATTTTTCTGGGTGTTTGCTACACTTTGGGCTTTCAAACATTTCTGATCTAAAGTTGATTCCCTGCGTACTTTCAGCACATAATCAGGATGTACAATTGGGAAGTAAGAGCCTACTTTTCAGGGTATTCCACAGAATATTGTTTATTCTATGGGAAGCTGTACAACTGTTTTTTCGTTTAGGGCTTTTGCTTGTAATTTTTGTCCCAGTGGTTTCTCTCTATCCATTATCCATGATTAGTAAAGTACTTGAAGATTTGTGGTGTAATGTTTTGTTATTATCAATTCAAGCAGCAGGACCAGTGTTCATTAAATTTGGTCAGTGGGCAAGTACCAGAAGAGATATCTTGAGTGAAAACACCTGTAACTATCTTGGTACTTTACAGCGCAATACAAAACCTCATTCGTGGAAGTGTACAACTAAAATATTAACAGAAGCTTTTGGGACAAAATGGATGGACTTTATTGTCTTATTTGAAAATAACAAAGAACCTATTGGATCTGGTTGTGTTGCTCAAGTTTACAAAGCATATATTAACCTTGGTTCATTATCACAATGTGATGATAAGATTATGGAAACAATAAAGAAACAGTACAATGTTACATCAGCTCAAATAGCAGGTAAGCTTGTTTTTGTAATAAAAGGTGAGGTAACTTAGTCGACCAGCCTACCAAAGTCATCCGTTATTCAAAATATAATATTAATGATAAACTTATTTTAAATTTAATTTAACCATAGATGTCCACTTCATATACCTGGCCAACTAAAATATTAAAAAAATTAATATAACATGTTAATGGACAACCATTTAATAAGATTGTACCTATCAAAAAAATATTCTGTTAAAGATCAGGCTTACATCCAAGGGTTACATCTGATGTAATATTCTGTTAAAGATCAGGATTACATCCAAGGGTTACATCTGATGTAATATTCTATAAGTATGTACATCTATTGAGATTGGTTTTAGGGTAAGACAAAATACCTATATGTATATACATCTACTGAGATTGGTTTTAGGGCAAGACAAAATACCTGTATGTATATTACATCAGATGTAACCCTTGGATGTAAACCTGATCTTTAACAGAATATTACATCAGATGTAACCCTTGGATGTAAACCTGATCTTTAATAGGTATTTTGTCTTGCCCTAAAACCAATCTCAGTAGATGTATATACATATAGGTATTTTGTCTTACCTGAAAACCAATCTCAGTAGATGTATATACATACAGGTAATTTGTCTTACCCCAAAACCAATCTGATTAGATATATATACATATAGGTATTTTGTCTTACCCAAAACCAATCTCAATAGATGTACATACTTATAGGTATTTTGTCTTACTCCAAAACGAATCTTAGTAGATGTATATACATATAATATTTCTAAGTTTTTTCACTTTGAGCGCCCCCTACAATCACCAGTTCAAATTCTCAGCTAGTTTCCTCAATGCAATTAATCTCTCATAAAGCATCTTATCAAATGTTTTCCAAAAGTCTAGAAAAACATTAACCATGCTGCCTTCATCCAAAATAGAGAAACCCTATAAAGAGAATCCAGTAAATTGTTAAGACAATATTGACAATCTGTAATTAAATGCAAACTTCACAAATTTAATTGTTACCACTACTAACAACATATGCCAACATCTTGTGAACAACAGAAGCCAAACTGACATTCAAAGCTTTAAGACTTTAATATAAAGCTTTGTAGTCTAACCTACCTTATGTTAACATAACATATAACAATGTTTAGGGACAAGGAATCTATTGATCCATCCTCTAATCTAAACTAAAACTATTAAATAGAAATAATAATATAATAAAACCTCAAAGCTTTCATTCATATACTTATCAAGCTTTCTTTTAAACTCGCTTACATTTACTGCCTCTACAACATCTGAAGGCAAACCATTCCAAAGGCCAACCACCCTGTTAGAAAAATAAAACTGTCTTACCTGAAGATGATTCCTACCTTGCCAAAATTTATACTTGTGTCCCCAAGTCCTACTATTCTCACTGTTAAGTATGAAATAAGATGATACATCAACACTAGCAATCCCCTTTACAATCTTAAACATCTCAATCAGATCCACACTATCTCTTCTTTTTTCAAGATAAAACAATTTGAGAGATTTCAGCCTCTCCTCATATGACAACCCCTCCATCCATCCCAGGCATCATTCTAGTAACCCTTATATGAACCATTTTCAACAATGCAATGTCCTTCCTAAGGTAAGGAGCCCAAGACTGAACACAATATTCTAAGTGTGGCCTAACCAGTGACCTGTACAATAAAATTATAACC